CTCAGCAAGATTCTAGCAGACTGGATCCAACAACGCATCTCAAATATCATCTACCATGACCAAGTAGGCTTCATTCCTGGGATGCAAGGCTAATTTAACATCTGCAAGACCATAAACATATTTCCCATGCTTTAGGACATGTGTGCCACATGTAGAAAATAGAAAATAATATACAATTAATGAATTAAAATGTTTAGATAAATAGGGAAATCACTAATCTATTATTTAAAAAGGGATATTGTACAAAAAACAAAAAATGGGATATTGCAAAGGAGAAACAAACAGACTGAGAATATTTTTAAAAACTTACTTTAAATTTACAAAATTATTTTGTATTATCCCAATGGTTATAAATATCTAGTTGAAATAGGCAATTTTGGTTTTTTTTTGAGTTGAGTCTCACTCTGTCACCCAGGCTGGAGTGCAGTGGCATGCTCACAGCCACCACAGCCTCAACCTGCTGGGCTCAGGCAATCCTTCCACCTCAGCCTTCCAAGTAACTGGAACTACAGGCATGCACTACCACACCCAGTTAATTTTTTGATTTATTGTAGAGACGAGGTCTCACAAAGTTGCCCAGGCTGGTCTCGAATCCCTGAGCTCAGGCAATCATCTCAAAGTGCTGGGATTACAGGTTTGAGCCACTGTGCCCGGCTGAAATAGGTAATTTTCTAGGAAAGAAAAATTTTAACCCAAACTGAGCCAAGCAGTTTAAAAATCTACATAGACTGACTTCTATAAAAGAAATAGAAAAAAATAAAAATAAAAAATAGCACCCATCACTTCCTAAAGAAGCACTAGACCTGTATAGTTTTATAGAATTACAACAATCTTCTAAAGATTAGGTGATTTCAATGCTACTTAAACTGCTTCAGAGTATAAGTTAGGAAGGGAAACTTTAAAATTATTTTTATTAAGCAAAACAATATTAATATCAAAATCTATTTAATGTTACATGACATACAGCATTATAAAATCTCACTTGTAAATATCAATTTAACAATCTTTAATGAAATATTAGCAAACAGTCCAACAGCAGATGAAAAGAACAATACATAAATTAGTTCTTGTTGAGTAGCAAACCATTCAAAAACTCAGTAGTTTACAATAATAAGTAATCAATTCCCTGTACCTGAGGAATTCAGATGATCCAGATGTGTTCAACTGAACAGCTTTGCTAATCTCAGGCATCCAGACTCATGCATCTATCTGGTGGGTAGCTGAAGACTGGTTAATTTAAGCTAGTTTTGGCTAGGATGACTCAGCTCTGCTCTGCATGCTTATCTCCTCCTGAGAGCAATGGACTAGCTTGGACCTGACCATTCTTTATATTGTAGTGTAGAATTTCATTTCATTCACCTATACTCTCTTCTACTATTGATGAATAATTGAATCATTTTTAGTTTTTAGTTTTTACGAATAAAGCTGCTATGAATATTTCTTTTTATTTCTTTGGGGGGGACAATTTCTTTATTAGAAAAATTTTATTGATTATAATTTGACTCTTCAGGGGTTGCTGTTTGTCTGAAGAAAGGGAAATAACTATATCAGATGAACTCAGGGTAGGAGAAACAACTATTAACGAAATTTCTTGATCTAATTTAAGAACGACATGGATGGAAACAGTTAAGGGGCTCAAGAAGAAGGTTAGGATTTCAACAAAAATGCTTTCTTGAAAAGAAGGATACTATGAAACCATTAAATAATTTGCAGTTTTTAAAGATTAAAATCCAACACATTTAATCATAACGAGGCTTGCTATATATAGAGGAATTCAAATGGGAATGTGACCCTAAGAAATACACATTAGCCTTTAGTGAGCTAATTTTTATTACAGAAAGAAAGAAGAGAAACTTGGAGGCCCAAGTCTAATTGCCCAGAGTGACATGGGAAAAAAGGCAAATCTTTGGTATTAGAAGGATTAGAACTGAAATCATGACTTAGAATTGTGTGACTAAAGCAATTTCTGACATCTTTCTTGCCTGTTTCCTTCTTTGAACATTCTTATAAACATCTTTTGGTGGATCTATTCAGTCATTTTACTTGGTTATAAAGCTAAGGTCAAATTGCTAAGTCATATGGTGCCCCTATGATGAGACTGAAAAGATACTTACAAACTATTTTTTTTAATAGTTGTACCAATATACAGTCTCATCAGCAACATTTTTCAGATACCTATTCACCATCCAGGTATTCTCTTTTGTGAAAAACTTGTTTAAGTCTTTTGCTCATTTTTTATTGAATAGTTGTCATTATTGAATTGATCTGTAATAATTCATTTTACATTCTGGATACAAGTTTTATGTAGGATACAAGTATTGCAAATATCTTCTCCCAGTCTTTCCTTTGCCTTTAAACTGTCTTAATGGTGCATTTTGATGAACAGGCATTGGTAATTATAATGAAGTCCAAGTTATCAATTTTTAAAGTGATTTGTGTTTTTCAGGTCATGTTTAAGTGATCTTTGCCTATCCCACAGTCATAAAGGCATGCTATGCTTTCTTCTAGAAGTCATTATTTTTCAAATTAAGTCTACAATTCATTTTGAATTTGCTTCTTGTGGATGTTGCAAGGTAGGAGTAATGCAGATAAAATTTTAACTGAGTTCCAAAATTAGAGTTAAGTGCTAATGGAAATTAAGCATATTATAAAACAGGCATCTCAATTAGTAGGCAAAAACATGAACTCTTAAGTAACTGTTTTTGGACTAACTGGAGAGCCACATGAAAATACTTGAGAAAAGCTGGGCTCTGTGGCTCAGCCTGTAATCTCGTGCTTTGGAAGGCTGAGGTGAGTGGATTGCCTGAGCCTGTGGGTTCGAGACCCGCCTGGGCAAATTGTCTACAACAATTGATTGTAGACCTCATCTCTACAATAAATCAAAAAAATTAGCTGGGTGTGGTAGTGCTGTAGTTCCAGCTACTTGGAAAGCTGAGGTGGAGGAATCTCTGGAGCCCAGCAGGTCAAGGCTGCTGTGGCCAGGAGCGGTCACTGCACTCCAGTCTGGGCGACAGAGTGAGACTCCAACTCAAAAAAGAAAAAAAAAAAAAAAGAAAATACATGAGATTGAATCAAGTTCTTACTAAGATTAATTCCAAATGAAGACTCTAAATGTTAACTTAAATCAATAAATATTAGAATGAAACATAGGAGAATTACTCTCTAATTTGGAGCATGAAAAGTTGCTCAACACATTAATTATCAGGAAAGTGCAAGATACCACTCCACACCTACTTACATAGCTAAAATTAAAATGTCTGACAATAGCTGGTGATGGGGAGCACATGGAGTCACTGGAACTCTCCTACACTTTGGCAAACTCTTTGGTAGTTTTAAAAAAGTATGCCTCTTCCTATCCTTTGACTCATAAATTCTACTCCTAATTACCTCCCCAAGGTAAATGAAAGTGTATGTTCACCAAAAGACTTACACAAGAATGTCCATAGTAGCTTTATTCACAATGGCCCAAACCTGGAAACAACTCAATATCCATCAGAAAGAGAAGGGGTTTAATGAATCATAGTATATGCATCCAATGGAATAAAGAAACAAACTTTTGATATACATAACAGCATACATGAATCTTAAAAATATTATGGTGAGTGAAAAAAGTTAGATTCAAGAGAAAACTTTTTGTGTGATTTCATTTATAATGAATCCAAGGACAGACAAATTGATTATGATCCCATGGAAACAGAAGTGAGATGCGAATTACCAGTCCCAAGCAAAGACTCCCACTGCATGGAGAATAGCAAAGATCATCACTTTACCAATCACCAGAAACAGAAGTACTGCTTCAGTATCCTGGGCTACCATTTAGGTCCATCATGAACTGGTTGCCTGTTTGAGTCTGGTGAGACAGAATACACTCACGTACAACAAGTTATGTGAAGCAGCTTTATTGCTTACAGGTGGGCAACAAGTGACAGAAGACTTGGATCCACTGTGAGCTCATCTCCCAAGGCTCAAGACAGCTGCCCATGATGACTGGGGTCTTGACGGTGCATGCTTCACCTTTGCACCAAAACTGAAGGATCTCAAAAGGCAGATGGCTCTGGGTTACATACCTCGGGTGCCATGTGACAGAGGAAGCAGAGCTTTGAAGAACATCAGATGGCGTGGGGAGGTGACAACAGAGTTGGGGAGGTGACAGTGATAGTGAATGGCAAAGGAGGAAAGGAATAGAGGTGTATGGCGTGGGGAGGTGACAACAGAGTTGGGGAGGTGACAGTGATAGTGAATGGCAAAGGAGGAAAGGAATAGAGAAAGATGTGAAAAGGAACGGGTAGAAATGAGTTGTGCTGTACCTCGAATGTACATCTTGATAGGAATAATAGTGACTGTGTGTGAACTGTGAAGAGGCCAGGAAGTCTCTTTGTTTCCAGTTTCCTACTAACATGTGTATGGATGTACTTTGTTAATGCCAAGTAAATCACAATCACTGAGTCTGAAGTGGGCACTGTTTGCTGGTAGAAATAACTTTATGTTCACAGAGGAAAATCTTCAGTGTCCATCATCCATTTTGCTGCTTTTTCTGCACAATCCTTGCAGTGATATATGGGAATTTTAGATTAAAATATTTGTGAACTTTTAGCTGAAGTCTTTGTAATCCACCTCAAATAAGCAAACCAGAAAGTTCTAGAATGGCCCTGCTTTAAATTTTACTGTACAGGCCTCTTGGCTCAGGCTTTTTAAAGTATGAAAATGCCAATAAAATCTCTGTAATAGGATGCATCCATGGTTCTGAACCATTACCCCCTGAGCGAGGAAGGAGCCAAACTGACAGCACTAAAATGAAGAGAGAGCAGGGGTATTGTCAGGACAGACAAGACAGGAAAGCAAGAGCAGCAGGTGTGAAGGATAAGCGATATCAGCAGCAGGTGTGAAGGATAAGCGATATCAGCAGGTATGAAGGAAAAGCAGGAAAGCAAGAACAGCAGGTGTGAAGGATAAGGGCTATCAGCAGCACTCTAATGTGAGACCTCCGGAGGGCAAATATCTTAGATTTTGAAGTTACAGTAATTGTAGTTACAGCATTTATGAACGTAAGTTCGATTCTTGAGATCAAATGTCAAGTTTCTGCAGAATTTCTGACACACCATATATGATATCTGGAGAGCATCATCTGCAATAGGAAACACCCACAAAAAATAAGCCAGTGATCTAAGTTTGTCAAACTTGGCACTAGTATGTCAATGAAAATTTAATCAGGCATTGGGATAGGTATAGGAATGGCTTCTCAGCTTATACTTCTCAAGAGCACTCAGGCAGGGAGAAGCATAAATCACTGGCCAGCAGTGGGGGTTGTTTGCCTGAGGTCTCTGACAATCCTCTACCCTTTGTGTGGCTGCCTCATTCCTTTTCTTGCTAGAAGAGGAGCAACTAGTGCTTTCGTGTCTTCTAAGTAAAAATCTGTTAGGCCATTAACCAAATTTTCTTCATACCCTCCCTTTCTCTCTTGTCCTCCTTGGCTTTTGGTAACCGCCATTCTTCTCTCGACCTCCATGAGATCTCTCTTTTTTTGAGCTCCCACATATGAGTGAGAACATGTGGTATCTGTCTTTCTGTTTTTGGCTTGTTCCACTTAACATAATATCCTCCAGGTTCATCCATGTTTCTACAAATGACAAGATTCCATTCTTTTTTATGACTGAATAATATTCCATTGTGTATATATATCATTTTCTTTATTTTACTTTTCAAAATAGCATAAAGAGGAAATATTGAATGTTATCAACACGAAGAAATGCTAAATCTTTGAGGTGAGGGATATCCCAATTACCCTGATGTGATCATGCATGAATCAAAATATCACATGTACTCCATAAATATATACAATTATTATATGTCAATAATGAACTTGTTTGGTCAGTTTTCTTGGAAATGTAAAATCCCCACCTTCTTCCTTCTTTCCCATTGTCCCAAATCTTTATCTGCTTGCTTGGGGACCTGTTCTACCCCTACTCAGGGGCAATCTGTACTTTGGCTCTTCTTCTGAGATGTCAACTTGCACTTTTCAAAGAGTTCTAAGAATCCCACAGCAACTCCCCTGACCCTCTAACTTACCCTCAAAGATCTGTAAGAGCATGCATGACTCCTGCTTCTGAGCAACACAGACACCAAAACCTCTTCTACAGTGGTCTGTCTGTGTACGAAGGTGGCACGTTATGCACCTAAGTGATGTTGCTGCTGGAGAGAGCACAGAGCTGGTGTGAGACAAGGAAGAGGACAGAATTTAGGAAAGAGCTGGAAATATGCAAAGGGGGTACGGGTGGGTGGGTGAAGTGGGTTTTGGCGTACTTAGGCAGTAAAAAGTTGGAACTCTCACCAGCTCCTCATTCCAGAGTAATGAGAAGAAAATGTCACTGTGAATAAAAGGATTCTGGTTCCACCTTCAGCCCTTTTCGCCCGGACAATTCTGGGCAAAAGTTTAGCCCTAGTGTCGTTGATTTCTCTAGTTTAAAAACAGTGCTCTGACTGGGCTTGGTGGCTCAGCCTGTAATCCCAGCACTTTGGGAGACCGTGGCAAGTGGATTACTTGAGCCTGCAGGTTCGAAACCCACCTGGGCAACTTGGCGAGACTTCATTTCTACAATAAATAAAAAATTAGCTGGGGGTGGTAGCGCGTGCCTGTAGTTCCAGCTACTTGGAAGGTTGAGGCGGAAGGATTGCTGGAGCCCAGCAGGTCAAGGCTGTGGTGGCCAGGAGCGGCCACTGCACTCCAGCCTGGATGACAGAGTGAGACTTCAACTCAAAACAAAACAATGCTCTGAACACTGACCTGACCTAATCAACAGTGCTGTAGACACATGAGAGTGATAAGCAGAGCAAGCGCTTTAACATATTTCATGCAAGCTAGTGTTACTGCTATGGAGTTTCTGACATTTGGCATTGTTTTGTGTTATATATTGCTGCTTGGATATTGTGATATATTCTGTTAGGTGATATATTCTGATATTTTGAGCTTCAAACTGAATCTATGTAAAGGTCTCATGAATTATAGCGCAGTCAATAATACCTTTATGAGGCTCTGTGGAATGAGTTATTCAAAATACAGATTTAAGTTTTAAAAATCTCTTCCTGGTATACCTAAATTAGAAAAGAAAGTAGCAATTATTGAGCATCTCATTTGGACCTTGTTCTCCAAACTATATCTGAAAACCTTGCAAGTAGATATTGTTCTTATTTCTGGAATGAACAACCAAAGATTCAGAGAACTTAAGACAGGGACTGAAAACCATTTTTAAAATCTTTTTTATTTTATTTTATTTTTTTGAGTTGGAGTCTCACTCTGTCACCCAGACTGGAGTGCAGTGGCCGCTCCCGGCCACCGCAGCCTCGACCTGCTAGGCTCCGGTGATCCTTCCGCCTCAGCCTTCCAAGTAGCTGGAACTACAGGCAAGCACTACCACGCCTGGCTAATTTTTGATTTATTGTAGAGATGAGGTCTTGCTAAGTTGCCCAGGCGGGTCTCGAACCCTCGGGCTCAGGCAATCCACTCACCTCAGCCTCCCAAAGGCATGGGATTACAGGCTGAGCCACCGAGCCCGGCTAAAATCTTTTTTATTCCAGGGCATTTAGTATTTTCTCTCCCAGAATTACTTTTTGTGATATAAAGTTTCTGAAAAGGCTATCAAAAGTCATTGTCTGGCACTGAAACAAGCTACACAATTATTCATTACAGATGGGATGCAAATGGGATATAGATTTACGAATAAAAATAATGTCCTAAGGAAGATCTTGCCAGGGTTTGGGATTATGGGAAATGGTAGGGACAGAGGGGAGAAGCAGGACAAAAAGACAGCAACTGAAGCTTGCATATCTGGAAGGGAATGGCAAATGTTGAAAAGGATAGAAGAGTTGACAGGGAAGGCGGAAGGAGCACTCTGAAGGCTGATTTTCTCTCCCTCATAAATATAGTCAAAGTTCAGCCCTGTGTGGACACATACTAATACACATGAAAAGTTTCCCTGGAGCTCCCTAGAGCCCGTGACTGGAGCCCACTCTTGAGGTCCAGGACTCACCCACAACGAGGCAGCAAATGAAGAAGATCAATAAGAAGTGTTTGTTCATCCTGACCCAAAAGTCTCTTGTGCAGGAGTAGAAACCAGGGGCTGCAAGCACAGGCCTTTAGGCCCCAGGGAAGAAACTTTCTTCATCATAGGCTAGTGATTATCCATGCCTGAGGGGAGCCAGTCACACAGGTTTTCTCTTGGAGCTCAAGTTTATTGGCTGTCTTCCCCACAGCAGAGAGGAATGCCAATTAACAAATGTTAATTTACAAATTAACAAATATTAACTCCAAATGTTGGGGTTTTTCATTGGGCTAACATTTTCTAGATATAATCTTCATCATAGTTTTGATATTATTATTCTTTGTTTTCTGAGACAGAGTATCTGTTGCCCAGGCTGGAGTGTAGTGGCACGCTTATAGTGACTGCAGCCTCAACCTGCTGGCCTCAAGCGATCCTTCTGCCTCAGCCTCCTGAGTAGCCTGGACTACAGGCATGTGCCACCATGCCCAGCTAATTGTTTGATTTACTGTAGAGCAAGGTCTTACCAAGTTGCCCAGGCTGGTCCTTGCCTCCAGTTCCTAAATGTGCTGGGATATTATTATTCTTACACTAATTTCACAGAAGAGGTCCAGAAGCTTACACAGGGGCACATGTCTAGTGACTGATAATGCTAGTACTCAAAGTAAGACTTTCTAATTCTAAAGTTCACACTTTTCACCACCATAACTCAATGTTTCTTTGAGATTTATTTATACATTCAATGAATACTTACTGAGACCTTGTATAAGCCAACACAGTTCCATGAGTGAGAGCAGAGCAATGAAAAAATCAGACAGTCTCACCTAACCCCTCACTTTATGAGTAAGAAACAGGAGGGTGAAAGAGATGAAAAGATACATACATAGTCTGTGACTAAGCTGCACCTTCCACCTAGAATGTCTGATTCTCAGTCTAAAACTCTTCACTTTACAAGAAATCTGTTTTTTAAGGCCAGGGACCATTTGCTTTATGGGGCCATGAAGTTTGCCTTAGAATTATCTCATAACTTGATCTTTTGCAAATTCATATTTTGAGTCTAGCTAGTTGTGTTTGTGATTTAAGTGTCTATCTCTATGAAAGTTAACTCAGTTAAGGTTCACCATGGGTAAAAATGCTGGAAAACTATGACCAATTCTGACATTTGAAGCCTCCTAAACCACCAGTTGGTTCATCAGTTGATGATATTTTTGCTAGAGATACTAGAGATATTCCATACTGAACTCACTCACGTATGTTCTTTTGTTATAGGATAAATATGACCATTAAAGCATATTGAATCTGACATTTTTATACATCAGATGAAGATTACATGAAATAAAGTCAGATCAAAAGTCACAAAATCTACATTGTTTCTTTTCTATAACCCATCTTTGCCTAAGAAGAAAGTCAGAAGTCTTAGAGACTTGGATATGAGGGACTGGTTCCTTTGAAAAGAATTCATTCTAGAATAGAGAGGAAGGTTGTGAAGTCTTTGAACCTAGTTTTCTATTCTGTCATATTTCAGGAGAAGGTGTTAGAAACTGAATTGATTTTTTCAGAACAATTTCCGGGCTTATCAAGAAGGCAAACTCCTGAGCCTTTGGAGTGTGGATTTATCAGCCATTTTCCTTGTCACCTGTTTCCTCTGCTTTATCCTCTGTTTAAAGATAGAGAGTGACACTAGAATCAGAGCAAAGGAAGCAGACATTCTAAGTTAAACTGCAATGGATTTGCAGTTTCTATTCTTGTTCCTTCAAGATTCTCTTTGGTAGATGCTTTCTGAAAGGCCAATTGAATTTTGAATCTCCAGTTTATAGGATTATTTCCAGTTTGAACTACAGAATTGTATAACTCCATTCAAATATAGGTATCCACTGACCTATTCCTCATCCTCCTGCAGTATCTTACCCATGAAATTTTCTTTTGAAAAAAAAAAATTCCTTCTTCTTTTATAATGAGGTGGGAGAGAGGATGAGTATTAGGACCTATTGATAAAGGTAATGTGGCACAATGGGAAGAGCATTTTCTTGGGAATCTGGAGAACTGTGGTTGATCACTATGTAACTCATTATGTCTTCAGCAGATCATTTATCTGCGATGTTACATTTCAACTATTTTTATGGCTTTTAACTTTAATATTCTGTGGTTCTGAAGCTCTGTTATTCTGAGGTATCTAGCACTCTGCTTGGAACATGCCACTATCCATGATGTCACTGTCACAGTACCGAAATTAATATATCTCCATGCCAAGAAGGTCTTCCACTCTGCATAGATGTCATTTGCCCTCCTCTGAGGAGGAGAAAGCTGAACATTATGTTCATAGTCTCTCTTGGCTCCAGAATGGGTGACTGAGATCTTGGTGATACCACAGATGAGCAGTCTGCTTAACTTCTCTAAGTGCTGTCCTTTGTTTTGGGGGAATGGACTTTGGCATCAAGTCAGGGATAAGACTGCTTTGTTTCCGGGTTCTCAGGGGCAACAATGGTTTTTCAGAGTGTATATGGGGAACAGAGCAGTAATGACCCTTTAAAAAATTTGGTAGAGAAGTGCCTTACTTTTAGGGCCCAGGAAAAACACCCAGGCTTATTTATTCAGCCCCTCCTACCTCCATTTGCTGGTGAAGAGAGAGTTGAAAGAAAAAAAAGAACCAATATTAATTGAGTACTTAACTATGTGCCACACTCAAGGCCAAACACTTCCACATAGATAGTCTCGGGGAGCCCTCACTACAACCTGGTGGTGAAGTGTCTAGCAAGGAACAAAGCTGGGGTTCAAGTCTAGTTTAGTGCCACCAAAATTCAGGGTCCCTTCACCATATTTCTGTTAATATGGTGGTTCAGATGAAAAGTCACAATGGATTAAAAAATTGCAAAAAGCCCTTTTTTGAACCATTTATGCACTGATTTTATGCATATGAGTATCAGATTTGTGTTAGCTCCTTTCCACCATTCCTCAGCAAGTTTTACCTACATGGAGTCTAGTTACCTCTTAGTTTCATGAGGTCCATTAACTTTGATAGAAAAATTTATATTTTTAGTTATTTATTAACTTGTAACTAATGTGAATTATTTATTTCCTTATGGAAAGTTTGCCACAAACTACAAAAGTATTAGCACTGCCTGAGACTTTGTTACCAATAGAAATAAGCAAAATATCAGAAATTAAGTGATTTTATTTGCATCTTTGAACTTGCTAGAATGCAAAGTTTACCCTAGTTTTATTTGTGTGAAAACATTCTTGGGAATAAAATTGTAAAGCCAGACAAAGTGAAAAAGCCATCTTACTCCTATCTGTCCTGAAAATGCATCTCAGGACGTGGACTTTTTTCCCTGATCAGAAAGCTCAATTTGAAAAAATTGACACATTTCTAAATGTAGTTTTGCTATTTTACAAAATCCTTTTTCTTGGGGCTCTTCATGCATTCCAGTAGCTTGCTAAATGAAAGAAGATGCTTGTTGTTGTGAAAACTTTAGTAAACTATGTTAGAATTGGCTTGTGGACTGCAACAGAGGAACATATAATATAACATACAACATCATTTTCCTTGTCAAATAGAATAGTTGATATTTCTCTTAAAAATTTGAAGTACTCATGAGGAACTGGTCTGTTTGCCATTCTCCTTCATTTTACAATCGGATGAAACTAATGGCCTCTTTCAACATAGCCAGTTCCCCCTTTTCCTTCTTGAAAGAAGGAAACTTCTGGAAAATTTTGCTCATGCTGTGCATGCTGAAGCTATTAAAGAAGAATTCCTACATCATTCGTCTCTTTGGAAACTGCAAAAGTCAGCAAACTTTTGACAATGGTAAAAAGGTGATTTTTATCATACACAACTGACTAGAAACAGAAATATCTTTTCTCTTTTCAAATGAAGCTCCTACAAAAAAAGCTTGGTAACCATTGGATTTGGCTACTAATTTAGTGAAAAAGGAATCTCCTCACATTGTGACCACCTCACATTGTGACCACTCCTTGATTTTTTTTCCCACTGATTTTATAACAGCCATGAGCTCACAACAAAGACTCTTCAAACAACTCTAAAAGAAATCCTATTGGCAAAAAAGCTATCAACTTTATCAGAAGTAAATGTCTAAATTATTAGATTTAAAAAATATTTTTGTGAAGAATAAGAAAGTTTCTTGATCATGTAGAAGTTCCCTATCCTTCAAGAAGACAAGCTTTAGAGCACTTGTTCTTATAAGAGAAGTTTCCTTTCTTTTTTTTCCTGAAAGGAAAAGAAAATCTACTCTTGAAACATTTTGAAAGAAAGGACTTTAACTTTATTCATGGCCTGGCTTACCTGAGAGAAACTTTTAACTATCTGAATGAGATACATGTTTGAATGAAACGTCCTGAGTTTATTGTTTAAGGTGTTGAGAAAAATTAAAGCTTTCTTGATTAAACTGCTGATTTGAAAAGAGAGCCGAGGCTAACATCCTTGCAAACTGTCAAATATAGTACTGTGGTTTATGCTGTACCAGGATGGGACTGAAATTTTAAAAAGCCCAGATTAATTTATTTGAAAGGAGAAACCTGTGATTATCTGGAAATAATCCAGAAATCATTTGAAAGTCATTTCTATCTTGATGACATCAAAATTGAATCCAGGAATCACAGTATTTTATGTTCTGATATAAATTATAACTAAAATGTTGTAGATAGTCAAAAGATGAGTTCATTTACCTTAAGACAAAACACTTGCTACTATTGAGATTTTAAAGAAGTTTTTAACTTTTTATTTGAAAATTATTTCAGGAGGGACGCGGCAAGATGGTGACAGGGCAACCCGGCGTCTGAAGCCCTCTGCAAGGGAGATCTGCAGTGGGTCTCTGACTCTCGCCCCGGGGGGCTGGGGACCCCAGCTTCGCAGCCTGCTCTACAGACAGAGCTCGGCCGCTGCCATTAGAACAACTGGACAGTTTTGACTGCATTCCAAACGGTCCCGCCGCTGCCGCTGCCGCCACCGCTGCCCCTTCCCCCACCGCCACTGCCACTGCCGACACCGGCGCCACTGCCACTGCGGCCTCTGGGAGGGGTAGC